CTTAACCCACTGCACCACCAGGACACCTTTTTTCACCATTTGTTGTTGTTGTTAAGTGCCCTCAAGTTGGTTTTGACTTACAGTGGCGTCCATCCATACATAGGGTTTCTGAGGCTTTAAATCTTTGAGGAAGCAGAAAGCCTCATCTTTCTTGTGGGCTTAAACCTCAGACCTTGTGGTTCACAGTTCACTCTTATAAAATGATAGGGCTTGTAGAATTCTATTAGAGCTTAATTTCTAAGCACTTGGTTTGTGGAAGGCTAGGATTTAGAGTGGAGTCCTGGTCTGGCACTGTAGGGTAACTACTCAACCAAAAGTTCGGTTTGAACTGCCAAGTTGGTGATTCAAATTCACCAGTTGCTCCTTGGAAACCCTATACAGGATCACTATAGGTTAGAACAGACTCCACTGCACTTAACAACAACTACAAATGGTTTAGAGTGGTATCCCACTCAGTTTTGAGTCTTGCAATAAATTCAGCTTCCATTGGGTTCTTACTGCTCATTAATCAGTAATGTAAAAAGCTTTGACCCCAGGCAGAGCAGGTTTCAAAGCAGATTGCTAAACCTCTCTAGTGGATCCAGGAAAGGGCAGTCTTGCCTTCCAAGACTTGCCTAGGCATGTACTTAATGGAAATTGGGGTGTCTGGGCTAAATGGTCGTGAGTTCATGTAGTTCATCTGAGGAAGCTGATTAGAGAATCCCAGAGCCAATCCTGTGATGTGTTCTTATCTGGCAATAGTGTATGTATCCCAATCAAAGTCTACTTCCCAATTCTGTAATCCCACCTGTTGTTGTTGTTAAGTATCGTGGAGTTGGTTCTGACTCATAGCGACCCTGTACAGGGTTTCCGGTGAGTGTGAACCACTCTTTTTGTGGTTCAAACGACTTTGCGGTTCAGTGCTTATCCTACAGTGTCACACCAGGACCCTAAATCGATCTGTTGCCAATCAGGATTTGGTAACAACTGTCTTTGTTTACCATGTTCTATATAATCAGTTATGTAATTAGGAGTCCTAGTATGGTGCTGTGGGTTAATGCTCTGGACTACAAGGTTGGTTTGAACGGCAAGGTTGGCAGTTCAAGCTCCTTGGAAACCCTATACAGGGTTGCTATAAGTCAGAACTGCTTGATGGCACTTAACAACAATAACAACAACAACAACATATAGCTAGCTGGAGTCCTGGTGTGGTGCTGTAGGATAAGCACTGGATTGCAATGTTGATTTAAACTGCAGGATGGCAGTTCAAACTCACCAGCCATTCCTTGGAAACCCTACACAGGGTATCTATGAATCAGAACCGACTTGAAGGTACTTAACAACAACAGCTATATAATTAGTTTGAATCCTGGTTTGGTGCTGGAGGATAAGCACTGGACTGCTAAGCACAAGGTGGGCAGCTGAAATCCACCAGCATTCCTTGGAAACCTTGAAGAGGGTTGCCATGAGGTGCCATCTTGATGGCAGTTAACAACAATATAACTAGCCACTGGCTGTGAATCCTTTGGACACCATTGTGCCTTAATGCTGGTGGTCTCCTTCATCCTGATGATCTGTCTTTGTTCTCTTTAAGACTTAATAAATGGGTTTCTATAAAACATATTTGAATTTGGAGTCTTTTTCCCACTAGAACAGAATGAAAGATATTTCTTGTATGATTCATTAGGGTAAGAGAGAATCTAGGTTAAGATAAGAGTGTATGTTAAAAGATGCATGGGTAACCCCACAGGGAATGAATTCAAGGTCAGGATTCTGCCTTGCTGGGGCTCCATCACTTCAAGGCAACAGTATTGAACTTAAAAGCAGATCAATAGAAACCCCCACATTGAGAATTTACCTTCATCTTAGGTAACTGTGACCCTAATATCTACATTTTTAGCTTCAGAGAAAAAGCTAAAGAAGTGTGATAAAGGTCTTTATGATTGGGGCTGTGAAAGAAATTCTAGATGCAAGAAAGTCAGTGTTAGGTTTTGTTTTAGAGCCTGAAGTTGAGTTGTATTCGCCTACTGGCAGCTCTTCCATTCATCTTTCCAGGGTGTTAACTTCCAACTTGAATGTTGGCACTTAAATTTCCACACCCTGTTAAGCTGCATACTTAAAACAAAACATTCAACTCCAGTCAATGAAATTCAAGGATACTCCCACGGTGATGTTAATCTACTGAACAAGAGAAACCTTTTAAAATTCGCAGATGTGTTTGATGGCTTTCTCTCCCCCTCCAGATCCCATTTCACATGCATCTCACTGACTTTGGGTGCTGACCTATCTGGCAACTTGAAAAGTGGCCCCCACTTTAACTAGGCTTAAACATTCCACTCCCCCTCCACAACGTAGCCCAACCCTGCTCCTAATGTTTTAACTGGATAGGTCTATGTTCTGAGAAGCTTCACAACTACTGCAAATTTAACTTCAATGACTGTTCTGGGAAGGAATACATTTAGCAGTATCGTTCTCTCTCACCTCATGCCTTTAAAAAAAAGAAAGAGAGAAATATTGAGTAAATAAATAACCATAAATCTCAGAGGAGTTATGTGACTTCTAGGAAGTCAAATGACTTGTCAGGTCTCTCAGATGTTTAGCTTTGAGAGCTTCTGGGGTCGTGTGACTCGTTTTCTGCAAGAATACAAGGTTATGTGGTCTGACACTGGGCAGCTTATACACTCTGATCTTTTGGAGGGGAAGAGGCCGGTTGCTAGAAGGAGAAGTAGGGAGGAAAGGAGAATAGTATAAAGGGAAAGATCTCCTTGGGAAGAGGAGGTAGAGGAGAATAGTATAGAGGGAAAGATCTCCTTGGAAAGGGGAGGTGGGGACATTTGAGAGGGGGGATTTTAGGCACCTTCCACTCTTACTGGAGCAGACAAATCTCATCTTTCTCCCATGGAGTGGCTGGTGGGTTTGAACCACCAACCTTGTGATTAGCAGCTCAAACCTTTGTGCCACCAGGGCTCTTTTCTTTCCAATTTTAGGTGTGTATAATTCCAATCCATTTTGGGTTGTTTTTCATTCCCCCAAATCTCAAACACCAGGTTGGTTTTAAAATAACGTATCCATATATCACTGGGTGGTACAAATGAATTGTGTTTGGCTAGTAGAGTAAGTGCCCTCACTCTCAGTTTACCTGTAAAATTTAAAAATAAACTGTTGTGTGCCATGAAGACAATTTCCGACTCATAGTGACTTCATGTGATAGAGCAGAACTGCTCCATAGAGGTTTTTTGTTAATTGACGAAAGTCCACATTGGCTTTATTTGAATTACACACACACTGGAAACACACAGATGTCCTTCAAGGGTGACAGCTTGCACAAATTGTGGAGTTCCATATTATGGAACACGTGTGGCCCCGTGTACAAGTACAAGAGAATGACATGTTGCACCCTCTTCACTACCCAGGTATATAGTGACAGCCACAATGGACTTGTTTGTACATATGAATGCCTTTCGGTTTAGGGAGCTCTTCTTCCAGCATGATCTAAGGCAATATTCTGTTGTGATCAATAATTTTCAGAAACAGATCACCAGGCTTTTCTTTCGAGTCTGTCTGAATCTGGACTAGGGTTTTCTAGGCTAAGTGTGTAGGATAAGCACTAGGACTGAGAACCACAAATTTGACGATTTTAGTCCACCAGTCATCCTGTGGGAGAAAGATGAGACTTGCTGTTCCTGAAAGGATTTACAACCTCGAAACTCTATACAGGGTTGTTGAGTCAGAACCAACTCAGTGACACTTAATTACAACCACCAATGGTTAAGATCTCAGTTGTTAACCAAAAGATCAGAAGTTGAAATCTACCAGTTGCTCCATGAGAGAAAGCTGTAACCGTCTGCTTCTGTAAAGACTGTTGTTAAGTACCGTCGAGTCAGTTCTGACCCATAGCGACCCTGTTATAGGGTTTCCAAAGAGCAGCTGGTGAGTTTGAACCGCCGACCTTGTGGTTCAAAGCGACTTTGAAGTCCAGTGGCATTAGCCCACAGTTAGGTGCTGTCAAACTGGTTCCAACTAACAGCAACCCTATGTACAACAGAACAAAACACTGCCAAGTTCTGAGCAATCCTCACAATTGTTGCTATGTTTGAGCCCCTTGTTGCTGCCACTGTGTCAATTCCATCTCACTGGGGGGTCTTCCTTTTTTTTCTCTGACCCTCCACTTTACCAAGCATGATATCCTTTCCCAGGGAGTGGTCCCTCCTTATAATATGTCCAATGTATGAGAAATGGTTCTGATTCATAGAGACCCTGTGTATGGTTTCCAAAGAGCAGCTGGTGAGCCTGAACCGCCAACCTTGCGGCTCAAAGCGACTTTGCAGTCCAGCGTATTAACCCACAGCACCATACTAGGACTCTAATCTTTTGTTAGTAGATGAGCACTTAACCATTATGCCACCAGGGCTCCTTAGAAACAAATTTCTCAATCAAAACCGTGGTAAGTTTCTGAATTTTTTGTGTTACTTAAGAAAGAAAAAAAAAGAATCGGAATTTTAAATAAAAACAACTATAGTTATTCACCTTTGTTATCAGACTGCACTACCACAAACCCAACCTATGCCCAGCCTTCTTTCAACGCTAAACTGTGTAACTCTTCACCACTGTCCTTGCCTCAAATCCAATATTCCTTTACGGGAATGCGGTGGTTGGGCAAAGGTCACAAAACTGACAGATTTCTAATGCACAGGCTGCTTTTTATAAAAAATACCAATGTTCGCAAAAATATGTGAGATGGCAAAGTCAAGTTCTAAAACTTCTGCATTATGATTCTCACTTCATTTTTATCTTATTTTTGAAATAATTTGTTCAGTTGAGCACTTGAGGAATTTGGTAGAAACAACATCTCTCACAGTTTTCCTCTGACTGGGAACAGATTCTTTCACAAAAATTATGGGGTTTGGATAAAATCTCAGCGGTCGTTTCATTTGCCCCCGCAGCCTGATAACCTTGGTAAATGCTGACTTGGAGCATCGTGTGTGACCATCTGGGTGTGTGCTACGTCAGCCACAGCTTACCTTCTCCAAAGTGTCATTCAGGCCATCCATCATCTGTATTCTGGCAACATTTGCAAAGACACTGTAAGGATGAAAAGAAACTTTATGTGGAACTTTCAGACTTTCCCACAAAAGAGGCTAACTGATTTCATTTATACAGAGGGCTATCCACAGAGCCTTTAGAATTTCACACTGTGTGGTAACATCAATCTGTAAAACCAGTTTTTGTTGAGATGATACGGACTCTTGACAACCCCATGTGTGTCCGAGTAGAACTGTGTTCCATAGGGTTTTTAGGTCTTTCTTTCCAGGCATTTTGTGTAGATATGAATCTCTAACCTTTTGGTTAGTAGTTTAGTATGTAAGTCATGTACACCACCCAGCGACCATTGGGTGCCATGGAACCAGTGCTGACACATAGTGACCCTCTATAGGGTTTCCAAGAAACATCTGGTGGGTTTGAATTACCAACCTTGTGGTTAGAAGTCTAGTGCTTATCCTACAGCTCCACACAAGGACTCCTTGGCAACATCTTGTTTTTGTTTTTAAGTGCTGTTGAGTCGGTTCCACTCATAGCGACCCTGTATAGTAAAAAGCTGAGGCTTTCTGATTCTGTGAAGATTTAAAGCCTCAGAAACCCTATACAAGGTGGCTATCAGTGGAAAATGACTCATTGGTACTTAATAACAAGAAGTAGAGTTTTTTTCTACTGCTTTACGTTCTACAGTAGTCCAATTCCAATCTTTTCATGATAATTTGAAAACAATTGAGAGTTTTAAAAGAGGTTCAATCTCCACTTTTATTACTTTCTAGCCAATTCCCTTGTCAAATAGTTCAGCTTATGATAGAATTAATAGTTGTTAAGGACTTCTGGGGAGGTTCTGTGGGTTAATGCGCTTTAACTACAAAGTCGGTTTGGGCCGTAAAGGCCGGTGGTTCCAACTCACCAGCTGCTCCTCTGAAACCCCTGTACAAGGTCACTCCTTAGTGACACTTTAGCAGTCCTGGTGTGGTGCTGTAAATTAATGCTCCAGACTGCAAAGCTGTTTGAAGTGCAAAGTCGGCGGTTCAAATTCACCAGCCGCTCCTCGGAAACCCTACACAAGATCGCTATGGGTCGGAACCGACTCGACAGCACTTAACAAGTGCTGTGGAGTTGGTTCCGACTCATAGCAACCCTTTATAGGGCTTCTGGGGCTTTAAATCTTCACGGGAGCAGGAAGCCTCATCTTTCCCCCCAGAATTAATAGTAAGTCTCCACTTTTCTGAGGTACCAAGAAGTTAATGACTTTTACACTGGCTACTAGCGTAGTAGTTAGCTGCAAGCCTCAGGGTCAGCTGTTCCACGGGAGAAACATGAGGCTTTCTGCTCCCGTAAAGATTTACAGCCTCGGAAACCCTGTTCAGGGTCGCTATGAGTCAGAACCCGACTCTACAGCACATAGCAACAACAACAACCACCATCTAGAAGTCATTTCCAAGCCATGACTCTATTTCCTGAGTACCTAGCCCATGCTTATTGACCTGTCAATGAACAGGGTTTAAGTCAAGTTATAGAATCAGAACAGCTTTGGAGACTCACCTGCTCTCAATTCGGCCACAAGTTGGCATCCTTCACAAAGTACATTCTCCATTCTAGAAACTGTTCTAGATGCTGGGTCACAAGATAAATGAGATGTGACACCCCCCCCAACTCTTGCGAACTTACAGCTTCACTTTCATTATATGATTATATTTCACTACTTTCTGATATCAGAAGAAACAAATGACTTAACTGCTAAAGGGCAAATCTGTATTTTTAAGTGAAGGAGGAAAATCATCAAAACATTTCCTTCCTAGGTATTAAGAAAGCTTGAAAAGTGACTTAAGATATTTCACAGCAATCATCTATTTCTGTCAGAAATCTCTTTCCGAGATTGGTGCCACTTTAGGAGCTGCCAGGAGCATCCTCTTGAAATTTATAATAGTCTCTGGAACGGGCCCTTATCGCGATACTTAGACGAACTAGTTCCCTGTGTTTATTTCTTTTGAAAGCTCTCATTTTCCTTGACTTTGACTGTGCAGGTCATTTGTGTATGGGATCAGTCCCTCTAAGACCTTCCCAGTATAGTGTTCAAGGTCATGGCAGAAGAAGCAGGGAGAAACCTGTGCCTTCCTCTGTGCCAAATATAGTGACCATTAGTTTCTAAATAATTGAGTGATACATTTTAAACAAGAAGAGGCATTTATTTTTAATTCAGGAGATTTTCACAGAAGGCGTATTATGAAAACAGGGCAAGCCTAGGGACAATATTTTAAAGATGAATCTGAAAATAGGTTATAAGGACTTGCGCCAGGTTTGGATGTGTGGATGTACCTAGAACGGTATCTTTTAAAGTGGGAGGCCGCGGGGCAAGCTGCAGGGAGGAGGCATCGTAGCGCGGTGATGGGAGAGAGGGGGCGAGCCCTCAGATTGTAGCAATATTTCACTGACTGTGTCCTTTTAACCTTCAGCCCCTGCCCCTTGACTCTGATCACCCCCACCCCACGCCCAGCTATCTCCAACATTTCCCTCTCCCCTCCCTACCTTTCCCTCTCCCCACCTTCCCTTCTCCTTCTTCTCCCTCCTCCCTCCACCCTTTTGTCTCCCCACTTTCTCCTCTTTCCCTCGCTCCCTCCCTTCCTGATTACCAAATGCACTGGAGACCTCGGTTTGTTCTAAAATAGGAAGGGCATGTCTCTGACACCTGGAAACAGTCCCGGAAAAAAAAAAAAAAATCCTCAAGGTGAACAAGCAGAAGAAATTAAGCACTCCCTACCTTGTTTTCTCTAATCCTGTCTTTTTGGTATGTCTCTCCAAGACTCCAATTTCTTGTTTTTTTGAAATTCGCATTCCACCAGCTTTAACTGTAAACAAACGAGCAACAACAGAACAGTTGGGCTAGCATGAGAAGACTTGCTTTGTTATATAAGCTATGAATTTAGAATGGAATAGAAATTTTTTTTTAATTGCTATCTAAATTTGTATCTAAACCAACACAGTAGAAAACAATCCTGAGACACAGTAAGAAAAGAAAAGGTATCTTGGGAGCAAACAATGGACCAGAAGAACAGAGGTCTGCTTTATGCCTCTATGTAATGGTGAGAGAGGCATGTTGTTGTTTTCTTGCAGAAATGACTTTGACTCATGGTAGCCCCGCATGTTACAGAGATTGAACTAAGCGCTTCATAAGGCTTCCTGACTGTGATTTTTACAGAAGCAGAACCAGGTCTTTCCTTCTGTGGAACCATTCACTAGGTGGGTTTGAGCCATTTATCTTTTGGTTATTGTTAGTGTTAAGTGGCAGTGAGTTGGTTCCATCTCATAGTGACCCTGAATAGGCTTTCCAAGGACAGGCTGGCGGGTTTGAACCAGCGAAATTTTAGCTAGCAGTTCAGTGCTTATGCTATAGTGCCACACCATTTATATATACTACCCAGGGACCCAGAGAGAATGGGTATTTTGTTGTTGCTGTCAGTGCTTTCCATTAGTTCTGACTCATGTATAGGGCTTTCCAGGAGAGACTGGTGGGTTCAAATCTCTGACGTTGTAGTTAGTAGTCTAGTGCTTATCATACAGTGTTACAAGAGAGAAGGGCATATTGAGGCATTTTATTGAAAAATGTATTTTCTTGCTATCAGCTCAGAGCCATCCTGTATAGGGTTTCTGAGGAGCGGCTGGTGGATTTGCAGTGAATATTACAGTTCAAATGGACCTGTGGTTGCATTACCCAGCAGCGCCACACCAGGACTCCACTTGCATTTAATAGTCCAGTGCTTATCTTATAGAACCATATCAGGACACTTTCTACACAATGTTGTTGACATTATTAAGTGCTGTCAAGGCGGCTCCAACCCATAGCCACCCTGTATAAGGTTTCCGAGGAGCAGCTGGTGAAATTGAACCGCCAACCTTGCAGTTCAAACCAACTTTGCAATCCAGTGCATTAACCCACAGCACCACATCAGGATGACAATTACAGTGTGGCTCTTCTGTTTTTCCCCAAGTTTTAAATTTCGTATATTGCTTGCATTTTCGTTTCCCAACCAAAGTTTTCCAAATCCAGATCCTGAGAGAGATGGGCCAAAAGTTACGCCACACACTGGCAATAGGCATTTAATTCAGCTGAAAGATCTTTGATCCCATGGAATACTCTTCTAGACCCCAAATCTTAGATATTGGTTATGTTCAAATTTTCTAATGAGTAATTTGTTATTTGTGTTTGTTGAGTGCCATCCAGTCAGCTATGACTCCTAGTGACCTTGTATAAGGTTTCTAAGGAGCACCTGGTGAATTTGAATTGATGACTTTGTGGTTCAAACTGACCTTGTAGTATAGTGCTTATCCTAAAGTGCCACACCAGAACTCCTAAACTATATTAATAATTCTGCCATTCAAGAGATAAATTAGTGTTAATTTGGCTACAAAAGATCTAACAGCAATTTAAGTGTTTAGCAATGTCAGAGGAAATAATTTTTTTGAAAAGGAACAACCATCCAGATTGCGAAGTCAAATCAAATATATTTTTTGCTAGCTCCCAGGAAATTTGCAAATCTGAAATCTGACAAGCTCAAATGTGAAAAAGTTAAATGGACATAGATTTGTTTGAACCTGCCAATTCTTTTTATGGATATGTCAGATTAGCATTAAAAAAAAAAAACTACCTCTATCTAGTAACATGAAAAATAAGAAAACTCTAATCTATTTCTCAATGTCTGAGTAAATTGACTGCACCATTGTTCTTTAAAACTGTTATTATTTATTTATTTTTACCATGTGTAGCATCTATAGAGCCCTGGTGTGGCTCTGTAAGATAAACAATGGAATGTTAACCCCAAAGTTGGCAGTTCAAACTCACCAGCTGCTCTCAAAAACCATATACAGGGTTGCTATGAGTTGCAACTGACAACGTCACACAATAATAATACACATATGTTGTTGTTGTTAAGCACCATCAAGTTAGTTCTGACTCATAGTGACCCTGTATAGGGTTTCCAAGGAGTGACTGGTGAGTTTGAACACCAACCTTATGGTTCAAATCAGCCATGCGGTCCCGTGCTTGTCCTACAGTGTCACACCAGGACTCCAAAAACATATAAGGCGCACAGTTGAAAAGACATAGTAGATCTACAGTCCCTCTCTCACCATTTTTTCTCAAAGCCCCAGTGTACTCATTAAATACTCGTCAAGTTATAAGTTTCTTATGTATTTATCCATAGATATTTTATGCATATATTCTTCCATAGTTTTCTTAAAAATGCATTTATGTTTTTTAAAAACATCTATTCATCCAAAGATATTCTATGCATATACTCATGTTATTTTTAACAAATTAATAAAGTAATATAGTGTTTTTTAAAAATGGTAGCCTAATTAAAATTGTGTGCCTTACTCCTACTGTGGTGTTATAGGATAAGCACTGGACTGCTAACCACAAGGTTGGTGGTTCGAATCTACCAGCCACTCCTCAGAAAACCTATATATGTTTGCTATGAGTTGGACCTAATTCCAAGGCACACAACAATAACAACAAGATAAACATTGTTCTGCACCTTGTTTGTTTTTTTGTTTTTCACTTAATTTTGGATGCTGTTGTTGTTGTTAAGAGCCTTCAATGGGTTTTGACACATAGTGACCCTGTGTAGGGTTTCTGAGGAGCAGCTGGTGAGCTTGAACCACTGACCTTGCAGTTCAAACCAACTTTGCAGTCCAGCACATTAACTCACAGTGCCACACCAGGACTCCCCAAAAGATACATTGCATATCTGCTTTAAAATTACATAAATAGTTTGTTTTTGCTTAAACACTTTCTTAATGTTGGAGCATTCAGGTATTTCTAATCCATTGCTATCACAGACAATGCTGCAATGAATATCCTCACATATACATAATTTTGTCCTTGTGCAAGTGTATCAGGGTGGGCTAAATTCCTAGAAGCAAGATTCTTAGTTTTTATGAGTATGGCATTTGGAATTTTGCTGAACATTACCAAATTGTCCATTGCAGAGGTTGCTCCAGCTTACATTTCCACCATTCATTTTGACAGTGTTTGTTTTTCCATATCTCTGGCAACAATATGAGCTATGAAACATTACATTTGGTAAACTTATAAGTAAAAACAATCATATCTTACTGTTGGAATTTGCATTTTGCACATTTTGCAATGGTGAAGTTGGTTTATGTTTGTTTTAGAACATAAATATGTTTCTAAGACCTATTCAAATCCTTTGCCTATCTTTCCTATTAGATTGCATTATTTTTCCTATCATTTTCTTACTGATTTATAGGCGTACTTTTCAATATGCATTGCAAATAAAATAAAACAGAATAGAATATTTTACCAGTTAGTGCTTTTTGACAGTAGTACCAGGGCACTGCAGACAGTTAGGTGTTCAACTGCTAACCAAAAGACTGGAGGTTTAAGGCATTCCAGAGGCACTTTAAGGAAAAGCCTGTGATGTACTTCTGAAAGTGAGCTATTGGAAGCCTGATGGAGCCAAGTTCTACACTGGTTCACTTGGAATTTCAGTGAGTTGGAATCACTTCCATGGCAACTGGCAGTAGTAGTGGGTTTATGACTTTGCTGATATTTTTTTGAGATTCTGGAATTTGCTGCTTTTATGTGAATTCACCAATCCTTTATGACTTCTGGGTTTTATATCACTAAGGAATTTACTACTCTGATATTTTATAAAACATTCTTCCATGTTTTCTTCTAGAATTTTTATGGTTTAAATTTTGTATAATGAATCATTGATCAGATATTTAAATCCATGATCTTTCTAGAATGTATTTTGTGTTAGTCACGAGAAGGGATGCAAGCTTTTTTTAAGATTCCAATAATATTGAATACATATGTGTATGTATATTCTAGACTTCTGTTCCATTAATCTGTTCACTCATATGCCGTTGCAACATTATTTTAGTATTATAACATGTTTTAATATCTGATAGACTTAGTCTTTCCTGATACATTCTCTTTTTTAAAAAAATGTTTCCCATTTTCTTTGAAAAATTTTATTAGCTATTCTCATTTATTTTTTCATATGAACTTTAAAATTAGTTTGCCAATTCTATATAAAAATATCTGCTTAGTATTTTTTAATGTTGTTGTTGTTTTTTAAGTTCATAGATTTTCTCAGAAAAAAATTGGTATCTTTATGTTGCTGATGGCTTCCAATACAAGAATATAGTAGACTTTTCATTGTTCTTGTCTCCTTTTGGTTGCCACAAAAGCTTGCTGACATAAATGATGGAAGTAATAGTTTCTCCATATTTTTGGCAACAATGTGAACTATGAAACATTGAGTTTGGTCTGCCAAACACTTCTTATAGGTTAATATCATAAACATTTTGTATTTTTGTTGTTGTTGTATACTGGAATAAGCCTTATGTTATAAATAAAGGTCTGTTCTATTATGTCTCTAAAAGATTATTGTTTTTAGACTAATGTTATTGACTTAATACTCAAACCTTATTAAATTAAAAAAAATTACTTATAATAGTTTTGGTAAAATTTATATGAACAACATATAAAGATAATAACTCATCCAGAATGATATTGAATAGTGTTGAAGTGGTGATGTTGAATAAAAACTCAGGAAGACAAACATCTTTGTCTTCTTGATTTTTTATGAAATTGCTTTTAGTGTTTCCTCATTAAGCATGATGTGTAGGAGAGTAACTAAAAAGCATTGCTACTAAGGGTCCAGTTCATACATGCACAGGTTTATTTTAAATAACATGTGTTTAAGCATATCTCTGCAGTCGATGGATGGCTGTGGACAAGTTTTCTCATTAATACATTTATCTTAGTCATATTGTTGCTGTTAAGTGCTGTAGAACCTGTTCTGACTCATGTTGTTAT